TAATTGATCCTGCCTATCTACAATACAGGCCATGTCTTTGATGCAGTGCTAGAGTAACATTCTTGAAGTCAAAGGTCTGATGGATGCTCCTCAGTAAAAGTGCCCATCGGCCAGGCACAGTGGCTCACGTCTGTAATCCCAGCACTTTGGGAGGCTGAGGCAGGTGGATTAATTGAGGTCAGGTATTTGAGACCAGCCTGGCCAATGTGGTGAAACCCTGTCTCTACTGAAAATACAAAAAATTAGCAGGGTGTGGTGGTGGGTGCCTGTAGTCCCAGCTACTCAGGAGACTGAGGCAGGAAAATCGCTTGAACCTGGGAGGTGAACGTTGCAGTGAGCCAAGATTGTGCCACTACACTCCAGCCTGGATGACAGAGTGAGACTTCATTCAAAAAAAAAGAAAAGCACCCATCAATTCCATGTTGCCTATAAAGCAAATTCTAAACTACTCCATGATCTATCTGACCATAGGTCATCTCTCCAGTCTCACTCCAGTGATCCCCGTCTTGTGTCCAGTGCATTAACAAATAAGACAGCTCATCATTCCTTAGCATTTGCCATACTTTGCCTTCTACTTTGCCTTATACCTGCAGTTACTTCTAACTGTCCTTCCACCTCTGCTCTACAATAATCAACAATCACCCTCTTCCCTCAAAGCAGAAACTAGGAAAGAAAGCAAAATTATCACAGGAAAGGGTATTATAAGAACCTATGGTCTCAGAAGCAGCATTGGTTTGAAAAAAGAGCACTGCCTTCAAGACCAAAAGTCTAGCTTTGCCACTTTCTTGTTAAGTTATACTGAGTAAGCCACTCACCTTTCTGAGTCTCAGTTTCCCCATATGTAAAATGTATCTACCCTACCTAACACACAAGATTATCCAGACAATTAAGTATGGGCCGGGCGTGGTGGTTCATGCCTGTAATCCCAGCACTCTGGGAGGCCGAGGCAGGCGGATCACCTGAGGTCAGGAGTTTGAGACCAGCCTGGCCAACATGGTGTAACTATGTCTCTACTAAATACAAAAACTTAGCCAGGCATAGTGGTGCATGCCTGTAATTCTAGCTACTACTCGGGAGGCTGAGGTGGGAGAACTGCTTGAACTCAGGAGGCAGAGGTTGCAGTGAGCTGAGATCCGCCACTGCACTCCAGCCTGGGCGACAGAGCAAGACTCCATCTCAAAAAAAAAAAAAAAAAGGAAAAGAAAAAAGAAAGACAATTAAGTATGATAAAGTGTGTCAAAATGCTTATGGGGGAACGGAGCTAAAGCTTATAGGGAAAATTATACCTTTAAATGCTTATATAGAAAAAAATCTAAAAATTAATGAGCTATGCACATTCTTAAGAAGTTTGAAAGAAAGCTTTAAATACTTATATAGAAAAACATCTGAAAATTAATGAGCTACACACATTCATAAGAAGTCTGAAAGAAAGGCAAAATAAACCCAAAAGAAATAGAAAAGAAAATCATAAAGTAGAAATTACAAAGAAAACAAACACAATATACCAAAGTCAAAAGACAGTTTTTTGAAAAGAATAAGATTGTTCACATGCTTGTGTAAACTATGACAAACAATATAAAAGTAAGCTATGGTTATCCATTAGAAATGAAACTTCAGGCTGGGCGCGGTGGCTCAAGCCTGTAATCCCAGCACTTTGGGAGGCCGAGGCGGGCGATCACAAGGTCAGGAGATCGAGACCATCCTGGCTAACACGATAAAACCCCGTTCTCTACTAAAAATACAAAAAATTAGCCGGGCGTGGTGGCGGGCGCCTGTAGTCCCAGCTACTCAGAGGCTGAGGCAGGAGAACGGCATGAACCGAGGAGGCGGAGCTTGCAGTGAGCCAAGATTGCGCCACTGCACTCCAGCCTGGGCAACAAAGCGAGACTCCGTCTCGGGGAAAAAAAAAAAAAGAAAAAAAAGAAATGAAACTTCAAATAAAAAGGGCTGAAGTAAATTTCCTTTGTGAAATGGGTTTCTCAGATCTCAGTACTATTGACATTTGGGACAGATAATTTTTGAGGTGAGCTGGGGGCTCTCCTATGCATTATAGGATGTTTAATAGCATCCTCAGCCTCTATCCACAAGAAGACAGTAACATCCCTACCCTATCCCCAAGAATCCTGACAACCAATGTCTTCATACATTGTAAACTGTTCCCTAAGAAGCAAAATCATACCAGGATGAGAACCACTGCTCTAAGAAAACAAAAAGGCCACATCACACTACGCCAACTAAAACTAGATTATTCATAGCTATTCTTTTTTTTTTTTTTTTTTTGAAACAGAGTCTCGCTCTGTTGCCCAGGCTGGAGTGCAGTGGCGTGATCTCGGCTCACCGCAAGCTCCGCCTCCCGGGTTCACACCATTCTCCTACCTCAGCCTCCCGAGTAGCTGGGACTACAGGCACCTGCCACCACGCCTGGCTTTTTTTTTTTTTTTTGTATTTTTAGTAGAGACAGGGTTTCACCGTGTTAGCCAGGATGGTCTCAATCTCCTGACCTCGTGATCCGCCCACCTTGGCCTCCCAAAGTGCTGGGATTACAGGTGTAAGCCACTGCACCCAGCCTATTCACAGATACTCTTAATGGTAGAATAGCTAGCTGCTCTACCCATGACTACGGGATGGCAGCAAGGACAAGACTAAAGACATAGGCAGGTCTTGGATTTTTCAGGAAAATTGCATAGAGTGCTCAACATGAGAGGAAAAGAAAAGCTTTAGGCCGGGCTTGGTGGCTAACACCTATAATTCCAGCACTTTGGGAGGCCGAGGTGGGTGAATCACCTGAGGTCAAGAGTTCAAGACCAGCCTGGCCAAAATGGAGAAACCCCGTCTCTACTAAAAATACAAAAATTAGCTGGGCGTGGTGGCAGGCACCTGTAATCTCAGCTACTCATGAGGCTGAGGCAGCAGAATTGCTAGAACCTGGGAGGCAGAGTCTGCAGTGAGCCAAGATCACGCCATTGCACTCCAGCCAGGGCCAACCAAAAAAAAAAAAAAAAAGCTTTAAGAGGTAAAATAGGGTAAAAGACACTACAAGTAACAGAAGTATCACTTTTACTTTTGTGGCTCTAACACTGTAGTGAAATATAAAAGATGGTCCATGAGTCAAATTCCAAGAAGTCAGTTAACCTAGCAGAGCACAGCAGGACATAGTGTCTAATGGGACGTTTGTTTATCACTCTGAACTTCAATAAAAATGAGTCATTTCAAAATTTGAAAAAAGTATTTAAGGCTGGGCACAGTGGCTCGCCCCTATAATCTCAGCACTTTGGGAGGCCAAGGCAGGCAGATCACCTGAGGTCAGGAGATCGAGAACAGCCTGACCAACATGAAGAAATCCCATCTCTACTAAAAATCCAAAATTAGCCAGGAATGGTGGCAGGCACATGTAATCCCAGCTACTCAGGAGGCTGAGGCAGGAGAATCGCTTGAACCCGGGAGGTGAAGGTTGCAGTGAGCCGAGTTGGCACCATTCCACTCAGCCTGGGCAACGAGAGAAACTCTGTCTCAAAAAAAAAAACAATCGAATTGCACAGCTACACTATTCTGAGACAAATCACAATTAAATTGTTGTCATTTCTAAATAATAGTAAAGTCCGCAGAAGCATATCATAATTTTTGAATAATTAACAATTTTACAAGGAAAAGAGAATTCCAAGAAGCCAACAGGGAAGACAGTGTGTATATATCCATTACATTCACCAGAAGCATCTAAAATCCAATCTAAACCTGATGGGAGTTCTAAGGGTGTCTGTAAATACAGTTATGAGAACCCAAATGATGAAAAGCAAAAAGTGATGTTGACACCTAGGGACTCTAACATCATCTCAGGAATAATAAGAACCAAGCAAACATTACTGTCTTCCATTGTTTCTATTCATTCTACTTTCTAGAAATAAGACTCCAACTGAATAAGCTAGCAATGGACAGCAAATGCTATTGGGGGGATAAAAGTGAATGGTCATTTCCCTGCAGAAATGGAGAGAGGCTTCTAGACAGTATAAAGGAGGGCAAATGGATCCCAAGCCACATGACAGCTGTTAGGATGAATGAGAACTGAAGATAGTAAACATCAGCAAAGACGGAGGATCAGTGCTCATCCTCCTGGAATCTGGAGAATGGCAGGAGTGCATTTTCCTGTGTTCCTTCAGATTCAAGTAATTAGATGATCTAATGCAACGTTCAGTTCCACTAGGGGGTCTGCTATGAACAGACAAAAACCCTATTCCTCAGTCAGTAGGAAGCTTACAAACAACTAAATCCCATGCCATAAAAGGCTGGAATTAATTGAGAAGTCTTGTGGCTGGCCAAATGACCTAACATTAGACTGAACATTAAAAGTCCGATGCCATTTCAAGAAGCTGAGGGCAAAGAAAGGAGTGAGCTGAGCAAACCAAATAGAAGGCATCAAAAGGGGGCCTACCAGCTATGGACATGCAGTGCCCTCCCAGTAGGAGCAATTTATAGTCACTGGAATGGCTAAGAGGTAGAGCAGCACTGCAGGAGATGCAGTGACCTTTCTGAAGTTGTGAAACTGTCTGAGAATCTCTGCCTGGGGAATTCTCTCATGTACACACAAGCAGAATTGTATGTATAATTTCAGAAAACTTACAGACCACTCACAGTTACCCTCACATCTACCTGAAGAGCCCATGGCCTCCAGACTGCAAAGTCTTACCATAGGGACTCTGCCATTGACTCCTCCATAACCTGGGCAAGTATGTAACACTGGAATCTCTGGACCTGAGTCCATAAATCTGTCAGAGACAAGCTAAAGGCTAAAGGTTCTTTCAGCAGTAAAACAAAGCTTATGTGGAGGAACAACAATCCACTTCCTAGGAAAGAGCAGCTGAGTTCATTGCATCTCAGTTCCTAGTCTGTGTCTTCTCACTATGGATGGCCTAAGAAATCCCACTGGAAACACCAAAGTCTCCCAGCAAAAATTCCATTGGAGGAAAATATAAGGCAATTTCTGCCACTCAGTAGAGCCCACTTACCATCCAGCAGGTCTTCTTCATCATCCCTGTCACATTCCTCCACTGCCACCTCCTCCTCCTCCTCCTCCTCTTCCGCATCCTCCAGCTCCACGTCCGGGTCCAGGTCTGGATCGCTCCCTGAGGCAGATTCGTCTGACATGGCTCCCAGAGGTCCTCAGTGGGCATTACCGACTCATGGTCCACTGCAGGGGTGCTAGGAGGAGGATAAGAGACATCAGAATCACCAAGGGTTTTGCTTAGAAGCACAAGTCTTTCAAAGAAAAAACTGCCAGCTGGGCACAGTGGCTCACGCCTGTAATTCCAGCACTTTGGGAGGCCAAGGTGGGTGGATCACTTGAGGTCAGGAGCTCGAGACCAGCCTGGCCAACATGGTGAAACCCCATCTCTACTAAAAATACAAAAGTTAGTAAGGCATGGTGGCACACACCTGTAATCCCAGCTATTCAGGTGACTGAGGCATGAGAATTGCTTGAACCAGGGAGGTAGAGGTTGCAGTGAGCCAAATGGCGCCACTGCACTCCAGCCTGAGTGACGAGGTGAGACTCTGTCTCCAAAATAAAAACAAATTAAAAAATGCTGAACATGAATTCCCTGGAACTTCTCTAAGAAAGGAAAGGTAACCGTACCCAAATCACAACATTCTCTGTGAGTGTACTGGCTCTGAGTCATGTTTTGGTGACTGCATAGCTCAAACATCTCTTGGCTATTTTGACAAGAAAACACCTTAAAGTAACAATAACAACAAAACTATAAACCTTGAAATTCCCATTTGTTCATTCCTTCCTGCATCAACTGTTTCCTAAGCACCAACTCTCTATATTTCTTTATACATATACATATATGTGTGTGTGTATATATATGTATGTGTGGGTGTGTATATATATATGTACATATATATACACACAGAGTCCCCAACCTGCAATGGTTTACCTTACAATTGTGCGAAAATGACACACATTCAGTAGAAACTGTACTTCAAATTTTAAATTTTTCCCAGGCTAGTAACATATGAAACTATACTCTCTGGCAATGCTGAGTAGCGGCAACGAGCCGAAGCTTCCAATCCACCATGCTATCATAAAGTATGCAGTTTTCTGTGCTGCCAGATGATTTTGACTGTAGACAATGTAAGTGCTCTTTATTTTATTTATTTATTTTTAGACAAGGTCCAGCTCTGTTGGCCAGGCTGGAGTGTGGGTGGAGTACAGTGGCGCAATCATAGATCACTGCAGTCTCAAATTCCTGGGTTCAAGCAATATTCCTGCTTAAGACCTCCTGAGTAGCTAGGATGACAGACACATACAACCATGCCTGGCTAAGACAGTGTTAAGTGTTCTGAGCATCTTTAAAGTAGTCTAGGCCAAACTATGATGTTCAGTAAGGTAGGTGTATTAAACAGACTTTCAACTTACAATATTTTTAACTTACGATGCATTTATCAGGATGTAACCCCACTGTACGTGGAGGAACAGCTGTATATAATCGCAGGTGCTATTCTAGAGTTTGGGGACACAGAAGGAAGCAGAACAAAGCATGCAGGGAGTACTCAAGGCTGGTGTGTGGCAGGAGGAGCTGCTAGTTTATATAGGGGAGGTCAGTAAAGTTCTCACTGAGCAGAAACCAAAAGAAAGGAAGAAAGCCATATAGACATCTGGAGGGAGTGTGTTCCAGGTAGAGTGAGCACCAACAGCAGAGGAGGAGTGGCTGGGAGTACTCAGGAGCTAGAATTATGTTTTACCCAAGTTATTCATTCATTCACATTCAGTCCGTCATTTGTTAACCTGCTATATTATGTCTACCATGTGTCAGGTACTGTGCATGTCTGTTTGTCTCTCATCACTTTACCATTAGCTATAAAGGTCACTCCTTCTTGAGGCTTAAAAAAAAAAACCCATGGTAAAGAGGTGGCTAGTTGGGTAGCTCTGTGATAAAGTAAATATAGCAAAATGTTAACTAGTAAGTTCACTGGCCAATTCTTTCCATTTTTTCTGTATATTTCAAATTTTCTTTTCTTTTCTCTTTTTTTTTTTTTTTTTGAGATGCAGTTTCACTCTGTTGCCCAGACTGGCATGCAGTGGCACGATCTCGACTCACTGCAACCTCCACCTCCTAGGTTCAAGTGATTTTCCTGCCTCAGCCTCCCGAGTAGCTGGTACTACAGGTGTACCACCACACCCAGCTAATTTTTGTATTTTTAGTAGGGACGGGGTTTTAACATGTTGGCCAGGCTGGTCTCAAACTCCTGACCTTAGGTGATCCTTCCTCCTTGGCCTCCCAGAGTGCTGGGATTACAGGCATCAGCCACTGCACCCAGGCTCAAATTTTCATACTAAAATCAGAGAAGAGGTAAATCATCTTTTCTTTTTTTTTTTTTTGAGACGGAGTCTCACTCTGTCACCCAGGATGGAGTGCAGAGGTGCAATCTTGGCTCACCGCAAGCTCCGCCTCCCAGGTTCACGCCATTCTCCTGCCTCAGCCTCCCCCGTAGCTGGAACTACAGGCGCCCACCACCCCACCCGGCTAATTTTTTGTATTTTTAGTAGAGATGGGGCTTCACCCTGTTAGCCGGGATAGTCTCCATCTCCTGACCTCGTGATCCGCCCGCCTTGGCTTCCCAAAGTGCTGGGACTACAGGCATAAGCCACCGAGCCCGGCCATAAATCATCTTTTTTTTTTTTTTTTTTTTTGAGACGGAGTCTCGCTCTGTCGCCCAGGCTGGAGTGCAGTGGCCGGATCTCAGCTCACTGCAAGCTCCGCCTCCCGGGTTTACACCATTCTCCTGCCTCAGCCTCCCGAGTAGCTGGGACTACAGGCGCCCACCACTGCGCCCGGCTAAGTTTTTGTATTTTTAGTAGAGACGGGGTTTCACCGTGTTAGCCAGGATGGTCTCGATCTCCTGACCTCGTGATCCACCCGTCTCGGCCTCCCAAAGTGCTGGGACTACAGGCATAAGCCACCGAGCCCGGCCATAAATCATCTTTTATAAGACAAACTGCTGTAGATAAATACATCAACAATCAGATCATCCTCAAATTCCTATCTCCCAAAATAAAAACTGAAGTACAAGTCTCTAGTCATTTAACATAAAAAGTACTGCAGAACTGCAATCTCTTACTAAGCTTCAGATAATTTGAAACATAACATCTATCTTCTCCTGAACAGAGAAGAAGAAAAGAAAAGCAAACTAGATTATTTAGAGTTTTGGAAAACTAGAACTTTAGGATTGTTCAGAGTTAGAAATAACAGGAATTAAGAGTACGTGTGTCCAGATGGTTCATGTACTTAGCCTCTTAAGACAAAGTAAAAAACAGCTGTGAAAGGATCTAGTAATAAAATTTAAATTTTTGCATTAATAACTCACTTTCAAAAACATCTGCAAAGGGCATTAAGGGACAGGGGAGAAATGTGATCAACAAATACAAATTCATATAACTAATGCTGAGCTACCATTCACTTAGTGACCTGGCAGATTTTAAATCTCTGTAGAAATGACTATCCGGACGGGAATGGTGGCTCACACCTGTAATCCTAGCACTTTGGGAGGCCGAGGCGGGCAGATCACGAGGTCAGGAGTTTGAGACCATCCCGGCTAACAGGGTGAAACCCCGTCTCTATTAAAAGACAAAAAATTAGCCAGGCGTGGTAGCAGGTACCCGTAGTCCCGGCTACTCCGGAGGCTGAGGCAGGAGAATGGCGTGAACCCAAGAGGCGGACCTTGCAGTGAGCCCAGATCGCGCCATTGCACTCCAGCCTGCGCGGCACAGTGAGACTCCGTCTCAAAAAAAAAAATGCTGCTGTTGCTTTTGGTGTCTTAGACATGAATCTTTTGCCCATGGCCTAGTGTCTCGAGGTGACTACCTAGTTCCTCCCTAGGATTTTATGTATTTAGTCTAATCATTTAAGTCACGTCTAATCCATCTTGAATTAATATTTTCGTATAAGGAGTAAGGAAAGGATCCAGTTTCAAGCCTTTCTCTATGGCTAGCCAATTTTCCCAGCACCAAATGTTATTAAGATTCGGAATCTTTCCATTTCTTGGGTTTCTCGGTTGTCCAATAGATCCAAATGGCGTAAGATTGGGTATTATTTCTGAGAATTGCCTGTCTGTTCATTGTCTATATCTCCTGTTTGTACCAGTACCATGGAACACACACACCGGGCGGCCATATCTGGGGAGGGGGGAGGGGGAGGAGACTGCATTGGGAGTTATACCTGGATGTAAATGACGAGTTGATGGGTGCAGCACAGCAACATGGCACAAGTATACATATGTAACAAACCTGCACGTTATGCACATGTACCTACAACTTAAAGTATAATAATAATAAATATTAAAAAAAAATTAAATTTAAGTATATCTACTTTAGTTTCATATAATTAGTTGAATAAATTGAACTGAATTAACTGTATAATTGACTTTCATTATATTTATCTGAAGCTCTGCTGTGCTGTATAAATCACATAGAAAGTTAAGTAGCAGATATGTGTTTCTGTTTCATAGTTCTGTTCTGTTCTTGACAGTCAAAACTTGTAAAAAAGTAATTGAAACTGTAGTAGCTTTTACTAGAGATAATTCTGATTTGTAGCTGTTAACTCTACTTAAGAATTTTTAAGCCAAATGTGGTTTCCAATAATAGAAATATTCCTGTGGAAAAAAAAAAAAAAAGAAAGGGCCGGGCGCTGGTGACTCAAGCCTGTATCCCAGCACTTGTGGAGGCCAAGAAACGGGCGGATCACGAGGTCAGGAGATCGAGACCCATCCTGGCTAACACGGTGAACCTCGCTCCTACTAAAAAATACAAAAAACTACCCGGGAAGTGGCGGGCGCCCGTAGTCCCAGCTACTCGGGAGGCTGAGGCAGGAGAATGGCTAAACCCGGAGGCGAAGCTTGCAATGAGCTGAGATCCGGCCACTGCACTCCACCCTGGGCGACAGAGCGAGACTCCATCTC